TCGCAGGCAAGACCAGCAAAGACTTTGATATCACCGAAAGCCTCTTCATTGGTTGAAAACGCATTTATTCTGGACACCGGAGCCACCCAGCACCTCACATCACACAGGGAATTGTTTTCTACATTTGAGAAGCAACGCTTCACTGTGAAACAGGCCAATGGTCAAGAGATCGATGCGACCGGAATCAGGACTGTGTACTTGGAAAGTCTGAACTTGACTATAAATAATGTTTATTATGTTCCTGATTTGAAGTTCAATTTGCTGAGTGTTTCTCAGATGACAAAGAAAGGACTGGTGTTGTCCTATGATAAGGAGAGTTGCAAAATCTTAAAGACGGAGAGCTGTATCTTTCTGCCAGAGAGAAAGATGGACTGTATCTATTGATTTTTGAGGATTCTGATTACAAAATGTGCACTGCATGTGAATCTAAAATGTTTTCTCTCGCAGGTGTATCAAAAGGAGCCAAGGATAAGAAGGCAACAAAGATTACCAGTGTTTTTTAGCAAGTGTATGCTGGTGTAATTGGTCCTCTAGCACCATCCAGAGGCAATGCTAAATACTATCTTCTATTTGTTGATCACTACTCTCAATATGTATGGATTTACATATTGCATTCACCAGAAGAAACCTTAGCAAGGTTTAAAGAGTTTTGTGACAAGGTTAAAACTGTTCATGATGCTAATATTGATTATCTTTTCACAGATAGCCAATTTTTCTTTCACAGGATTTTCAGGATTTCCTCGAGAAACAAGGGATAGAGCATAAAATTGCTGTCTCTGAAGCTTCATGGAACCAGAGTGTGTGTGTAAAGGTGAACAAAGAGTTGCAGAATGGCATGAAGGCACAATTGCTGAGTTCACACTTGCCACATGAGTTCTGGGCTGAATCTTTATCCTCTTTCTGCTACACTTGGGTGAGAAAGGTTTCAAAAGGTATGGAAAGTTCTCCTTTTGAGAAGCTCTTCCACAGGAAACCTTCTGTAAAACACTTTGGATCTCATGTGCAAGCGGAAACTCCAAAAGGGGTTAAGAATGCAAAAGGCATTTTTGTGGGTTATGAAAAGGGTCTCTACAGAGTAATTTTGTCTGAATCAGGTCAGGTGATTCTCACAAAGTTTCTAGAGAGCACACCTAGACAAGAGAGAGAGGTTATTCATACATTTCCCACTGATGACAGTTCAGATGAATATTCTGATACTGAAAGTGACACAGCTCAGAGAGTTCTGCTGACACAGTCATTGAGAGAGGTTCACACACAATGTCTAGACCTTCACAGGTTAAGGCTGAAATAGAATTGAAAGAACCATTGTTTACTGTTGGGTGTGGTTCTCCAAAAGGTCCAGAGGATGAACCAGTCAGCAAGGAGGATTTGCACTTCATTCGCAGATCTGAGAAAGTCACAAAGGGCATACCACCCAAGAGGTATTCTCAAGAGTTTGCTGTTGCATGTGTTACTATTGTTAACAACTGAAGCCAGATTAAAGGTGTGTCTAAGTCAGAGACAAAGACACGACTGGGAGTTGCTAAGCATAACACAACCTTCCCTAGCCAAGGTAATGCAGAGGCACTCATTCCTTGGAAAACAGACATCCAGAAAGTTACACTGGTGAAACCAGTGGCAGGTAGTTCCAAAGGTGGAACTAAAACAACAGGGGATTGTTACGTGTATAACAACTGTTTGTTTTCTTCTCTGGATGAAGCTTTGTTCACAGCTAACGTTGA